ATATATATATATATTTGCAAAACAAAGCAATTCCATTTAAGAGGGAGGGAATTTATTCCCAAAACCTACTGGTTGTAACCCATTTAACTTATAATTCCTATAGAGTCAGTGTTAGTCTGAGTAGATTTTATATATATACATGTAAAATATATATATAATTCTTTACTCTTCTTCTTTTTTCTGTGCCTAGTCCATCTCTTCCTTTTCAAACAGTCTGTCAATTTTCTCCTTCTTTCCTGCTTTCCTCTTTCCGTGCTTGGTCAACAGGATTCTGCAACTTAAATTTCCAGTGGAAGCGGGAGTGCCCCCTGTTTTCACCGCTTTTCCTGCGTGTCTTCCTCTGACTTTTGTGTTTTAGACTTTTGTGATTTTTTTTTTTTTCCCCACTCTATGGTCATGACATGTGATTCTTTTACTAAAAAGATCTATAGCTTCTAAATTTTAAGAGTCTAAAACTGTTGAACTAGCTCATCCTCCTTTTGTGGCACACGAAAACTAGATCTATACTTGAATTTCCATGAACATCCTACCTACTTTGTAACTGCTGTTGGTCTAGAGATTGTAGCATGATACTGGATTCGTTTCCATCTGCTGCAAGTGGAAAAGCAGAGATGATGGGCTACTACCTGATAAGGAATGTGGAAAATCTAGTATTGCCTTGATGGAAATACAGAATGCCTGTGCCCCTTTTGGGCACAAAAGCAAGTTTTCAAAGTACCTATGGGTTTTTTTTTAGAGACTGTCTTTGTTCTCAGCCTTGAATTTAGAACTTGAACAGGGGAGTAAGCTAGAGACACAATGAGAACAGAGCAATTTCATGTTTCCTCCTAGTCTCCCCTTTGAAGTCTCTTTGAGACCTGTTTGCGTGTTTTAGGGCAAGTCGCTGCTGAGTCAGGAGTCAAGGTGCGAGTAAAACTACAGGATCCTTAATTTTCCACAGCCTAGGAGAAGTCTGTCTTTGTCAAAGAAATAATATAGGGGTTCCTTGTGTCCACATGGTGACAGTCTTCCTTGGGTTTAGTGGAATATTCTCACTAGAAGGAAAAAATTGAGGCAGTGTGATTGAATGGTCCCATTCTTCCAATATCTGCTTGATATCTGAGTAACAGCCGGTACTTAAAAGCAAGTAAGTTCTTTCCCTTTCCCTTTGGAAAAAGCTTGCAGAGGTTTGATAGCCTTTTCTGAGTATTAAATTTATTTGCTCAAGATAATGACAAATTAAGGGACTGTTTGAGGAACTGTTTCTGACTGTTACAGAGTTATTTTTGCTCATTTTGTTTGTTTTAAGTTGTTCAAACAAACGAACCGAGATGTTACCTAGGATTGTATTTGACACTTCTGTTTTTTAATGTCACGTGGAAAACACAACGAGGGTGCTCTTTTCCTAGTGCCATTTATGAAACTGTTACTGCCCTACCACACAAAGTTATATATTTATCTTATTAGTTGACATTCTAGACGATAGACCACACATGATACCACATTTGTGCAGATTGGCTTGAAAAGATTGCTAGAATATTTAGGATAGTTACTCCTGTAATTATGAAACTCTAAAAATGCTCACCTTAAAAAAAAAAATAACCAGCTATTAAGTTATAAAAGGCTTTTGTTTGGAATTGTATACACCTCTGCTACATAAAAAGTAACAACCTTGATGTTTTGCTTCGAAGATGGATAGAAATAAGAAAAACAGCATCTTAAAATGCCACCGTAAAACTTATTGGCTGCAGAGACCATACCCAACTTCAAACCAAAGGGTGGTTGTTTCTTACAGAAAAACCTCTTCTTCTATGAATTCCTGATTTGAATTTTGGCACAGATGTTTAAGCAATGGTGTAACACTAGAGTGCTTGGTGTTCTAAGGAATCGCATAAATGGTGCAGCTTTTAATTGACAAAAATACCTACTATTTCTATATTTTAACTGTTAACTGCTATTTAAAATCTAGTTTAAGTGCTCCAGAGAGTTACTGGGAGGATTTAAGGGGGATGTGCCAAGTTTGACTGCCCCTTAAAAATTATGTAAGAGGGTTAATCCGTTGTCAACCAACTGTGTTCAATTGCTGTTGTCTAGGGGATGGTGATCTTAGAAGAATTCCCATTTCCAAAAGACATTTTGAAGAAGCAAATACAATTGACAGACCAAGAAGCTTTATTAAACGCCACAGGGAATTCGCAAGCTGCCATTGAGAGACAGGATTCCTTGCCGGAGCATGACTTTGAAATGTCACCCAGCAGTCCTACCCTGCTTTTACGAAACATAGAAAACCAGGTAAAGTGAAATAAGAACTGGATGGTCGCTAGAGCCAAATGATTTACTTCAGAAACAGGGCAGGTTCCATGGTGATGACTTCCAAGAAGGAAGATATTTTGCAGTCCTGAGAGTGGGTGCTGATGAATTGAAGGACTTAAATAACTACATTGTACACCAGGATTACAAATTAACCTTTTATTTCTGACGTGTCCGTGTTACCGCTTTGTTTTCATCAAAGTGGCCACGTAACAACTTCTAATAGCTCTCCACCAACCTGCCTCTCCCTTGTAGTTAGGCCCAGTGCAGAGTAGCCACAGACGGTTTCAGGAAATTCTTAGGTGAGATGAAAGAGTACAGCTGAAGATGGAGGTATGTTGCACTTGGAACAAACACACAAACAAAAAGCCCCAGTGGAATGTAGTTGTTGGTCTGCCTTTTGAAGCGTCACAGGACTCCCGGTTCGGAGCTGAGGAATTCCAGGTACTTAACAGGCATAGCGTAGGTGTAGCTGCGAGCGGGTTCCCGTTCATGGCGTTCAAACCAGTCATTTCCAAGGTTAATTCCAGGAAATACGATATAGACTCCAACAGGGTTTTCTTTTGCTGGACAGTACATAAAGAATGTGGTAGGATCACATTGCTGAAGGAGATACAGGAAATTTGTTTTCGGGGTGAACTTATGCAGTTGGCGTAAAGCAAATCTGACAAAGCCAGTGTGGTGCATTAATGTGTTGTTTTGCTGCATAAATCCTTGGTCATATACACTGTTTTTTTTTTAATGGGGCAAAGGTAGCTTTAGGTACTAATGCCTGTTCCTGGATCTCTGTGCCAGTTTTTCTTATTTGAGAGTCCTACTTTCCTGTTCTTAAAATGCTTCCCCTTGATAGATCTTCTTCACAACAGACAGGAGTGAGGAAGCAACGAAACAGGAAATTTATATGTGCAGTGCTGACGATTGCACAAGGAAAACCAAAGACCGTCTGTAGAATGTGGTGAATTCCTGTCTTTAAGGGATTCCTTGAAGAACTAAATACACTTCTCAGTAAGACATTTGACAATTAAAGTAATAGTAGTGTGTTTCCTGGTCCCTAAGTTGCTATAAACAAAGGTCCAAGAACTTTGATGATCTAAAAATTACTTGGGAGTAAAGGCGTTCATTTAAAACATCTCGCAGATTACATCAGATTTCTTCCTTTTAGGCCACAAAAAGCTCTGGGGTTTGATTTGCTTTTTGACCCTCAGTTCTGTAAATCAACCTTGACTGTGAAGGTCTAAGTTTCTTCTTGTTAGTGCCAGGCGTAGCGATGCTGTAGGGTGAAGTCCATCCACAGATACTCCCACAGAATTCTTCAGTCCTATGGTAAAGCCTTTCTTTGTCAAAAATAATTCTACTTGTGAACAAAAAAGCCTGAGCCTGGCAATTTTTGTTAATAATGTTTTCAAATCCTTTTCATAGCTATGCAATGTTTTTAAAACATGTATATTTTTCCTTGTGTTTTGGAAGTCTGCCATTGTTTTGGTGTTGTTATATTCAGTAGAGACTTTTCTCCTTGCAGATTGAATTCTGTTGAGATTTTTAAATCAATCTGCTACATATTTTACTGGCATCTTGTTTGCTTTGTCCATTTATAATTGACTTGCTATTTCTGTGCTTTACTGTCCTTCCCTGAATATTTTATTCTGACATGAAATTTTTACCGGACTGCGTCACCTAAACATTAACAGGAAAGGCATGAGTTGTAATCAAATGGAAAATAATTCTTTCTGCCTCTTTCTGCATAAATGGTAGATGTAAAGAAAATGTACCGGGTAACCTTTAGCAAGTCTGGTTTTAAGCAGTCTCAGTTGTGAATGAAAATCCTACGAAATAATTTAAAAGTTTTTTAAAAACTGTATGCCATTTCAGATACATTTAATTTCTGTTTAGGGTGCAGCACACAGAATAGCCTTTAAGGTTTGACATTTAAAACAAGAAAATCATTGTGAAATGTTATCTGGAGTCGGTCCACAATTCATTGCTTTATAAGGAGCAATTCTCAGTCTTCACAAATCAGCTGCATTTGTTTGGGGCTGTTCTGAAAGGCTGGGGTTTGGTGGAGTGGGGGCTTCTTGTTGCTGTTTTTGAAGACACCGGAAGGTTTTAGTCGTCGTGTTTGTAGTCACAGCGGTCCTCCTGTCGCTACACTTCCTTTTGTAAAAACACCTTTGTCAAACTGCAGTGAGCAGTGAAGAGGATTCTTTTCACAAGAAAAATACTTGGAGTGAACAAAATGTACAGTGAGTAGATAGCAGCCTTGGGTTTTTTCCCCCTTGTTGAATGGCCAGTCAGCGGCTCTGGGCTGCAGCTGTTGCAACATCAGCTGTTGCGTGTTCTGGTTTCTTTTGCCTTTTTTAAAAACCTTTGGTTAAAATACTAAAATCACTAATGTGTTTTGTGTACTACTACTCACTCAAACGTATAAACAATGTCCTTGGCTGGTTGTTCAGAGTTGTGTTGGTATTTTGTGTTTGGTTGGGGTTTTTTTTTGTATAGTTGAATGTAATAATTGTGAAAGAAAAACCATGCCACTCTTGATTCTTCACCAGAAGTAACTAAATATGATTATTCCGTTATGTGTGTGACTGGAATCCTAAGCAGGAAAACAGCAAACACCGAGGACCTTTGAGCTGTTGAGTCTGTGTAAAAGTCTGACTACCTTTTATATTTTCATTTATTTCCAGAGTGCACAACTGAGTGAAATCATCAGCAGCCTGATTGCTCCACTCAATCTGCCTCCAGCTTCTTCGTCCCTTTCATCCGAGACCTGTAGGCGCAGGCAGCTGGTCAATGGCATCTCCTTCAGGTAGGTGACAGTACGGTAACAGTTTTTTGGAAGATAACTTCTGGTGAAGTTACATAGATGGAACTGATAACCGTTACACAAGTGCATGCCATCCAGAGGGACCT